CTGTGCTGGCTTCTGCCTGCTTCCTCCTCCGCGCTGCCCCACCCAGCCTGCCTGGGAGCACCTCTCTGCCTTCTGCCTGTTTCCAAGTCCCACACATTGGTCCAGTCCAGGGTACTCTCAGGCCTTCTGCCTGGCCTCCTCAGCTGCTACGGCCCCTTTGGTGTGTCTTCCTGAGGGCAGGGCCTGTGGTTTTGCCCACCGTGCAACCTCCCCAGGGCTCTAGGAGTGTGTTCTGGTCCAGTGTTGCTGGTCCAGAGTCCCCAAAGGACCATCCAGCTGGCCTTGGCTGACCACCCTTAGCCCAGTGCTTGGCAGGGGCTGAGCGCTCCAACCTGGGAAAGAGGACTGACTTCCTGGCTCTGGAACCACCAGCTGGTCAGAGGAGGAGCCGGGCTCCCCCCACGTCTGTGCCTCCCTCACCAACGTTCCCAGCAGCTCCTGGAAGTCCTTCTGCACATCCTCCTCGCCCTCACTGCTGCTTGTGCCCAGCTGGGGACCCCTGGGGGAAAGGCTATGAACACAGCTTAAAGCTCACTCCCTCATCCCTCACTCTGGGTGGAACAACCTCACCGACTGCTAGCTGGGAAGTGGCTGGCACACCTGTCCCCTCCCGGGCTGCCACAGGGCAGAAAGCCACAGTGCTCTGAGTTTGTGATCCAGTCCCAGGGAACTGGCTCCATCTGGCTCCCCAAGGGCGGATAGTCTGGGCCACTGTGGTTCTGTGCGGCCAAGGATCACTGAGCAGTCTTCCCGCCAGGTTGGCAGGACCAAGGCTCAGGGCTCATCTGACCCTTCATTCGTCCCACTCAAGGCTGACCCGGGAGGAGCAGACCCCCCCGCCAGCCCCTGCAGACACCGTGGTGGTTTGCCGGGTCCAAAGCTGTGCTCTCTCAGATCAGCTGCATTGGAACAGACCCCAGAGTTTCCAGGATGAGACACGCTGATCTTTAGATCATGTTCTCTTGAGCTCTATAAACTCCAACCTTCTGACAGCTGGGACCTAGGCAATCACCTTCAGGCCTTGAGCTGAGCTGAGCTGAGCAATTCTCAGCTGAGGCCTTCCTGGAGGCCCCCAGGCTGAGAGCTCAGCTCTACTCAGCCTTGAGTAGGCCTCACTTGAAGAACCCTATTCCCCAGAGTAAAAGTTAGGATGGTAGTGCTTAGCAAAAGACTACACTTCCCAGACTCCCTTGCAATGAGGGGTGACCCTATGACCAAATTCTGGCCAATGACATATGAGTGGAAGTATTGTGTGCAACTTCTGGGCCCTGTCCTTAAAGGGAAGAAGCTTGTCCTCCATTTCCTCTTCTCCCTTTCCCACTGGTTGGAATGCAGTTACGATGGCAGGAGCTGGAGCAGCCATCTTGGCCCACATAAAAGAGGACAATGCCCTAGGAATGGCAGAGCAGCCAGCTGGGAAGCACCTGGGTGGCTGATCCAATCCCTGACACTCTGAGGCTGCCCTTTCAACCCTGTATTGCTACGTGAAAGAGAAAGAAACGTTAAGTCACCGTTTCTTTCGTGTTACAGCAGTAGGACCCATATTCTAAATACCACAGAAGGGATTGCAAAAGTCGCGAAGCATCGTGGGAAACATACTGGGAATTCCTAACAAACATCTTAATTTTTTCCCCTTGGTGTTTTGTTTTGTTTTGTTTTGTTTTAATCTGGAGGAGGCCTCCCTCAGTTTGCAGGTTGTGGGAAGACCCCATGGGACTAAAGGGCACAACTGCAAGAATCAAGCTGGTGTTCTTGCAGTCGGTTTGGCACAGAAGCCGGGGTCTGTGAGATTCCTAAGGCTCCGAACAACGAGCTCCCTGCCCTCCGCCCTCCCCCGCCCTCCCCCCATCTTCAACAGGTGAGGCGAAGGCTGAGGAGCAGAGTTTCACTTCACCACCGATAAGCACAACATTTTGATTAAACCACTGACAACTCTGCTGCAGGGCAGAGGAATTTGGAAACATCAGGAAATCAAACTGTGAAGTCTTTGAAGGAATGTGATTTATGTGAAAATGTGATGAAGCTAATGTGTTTGGCTCCAGCCCTGGGTGGCATGCCTGATGCTGGAACCACATCTGATGCCTTCCTGGCTCCCAGCGCATCCCCGCTTTCCCCGAACACGGTGAGCTGGTGCCCGGCGTGTGTTCCAAGCCTGATCGGCATTGAAAGCTTTTATTGGAGCCATATTTCCCGGGCTGTGTTTCCAGCCTGTGCGTCTGTAACCGGAACCCTGCACACACATGCACACTCTGAGCAACTGCACGGCTCTGCTCCCGCCCTCAGACACCAGAGAGCCAAATGTGATTAGATTTATGGGGAGTTTGGTGTAGTTTTACATAATGTTCTTGATGCGCTGCAGACTTTGGAACAGGCATTCACAGTTCCCTCTGGTTAAGCATCTGAGGCTGACCCAGGTCTGCTTTCCACCCCCTGGAGCTCGTGAAGCTTCATCACCTTGGTGGCCGTTGGGAGGTGACACTCCTGGCTGACTCTGACAGGCCCCTGTAGGGAAGGGTGACTTTTCCAGGGCGGGGGCCCCTTGTGAGGATGGGGGTGTGGTGAGGAGGTGGAGGCAATGAGGAGAGGAAAGGTAACGGGCTCAAATCAAAGAATGGGGAAGGTACCCGAAGATGGCCACAGGGCGGCTTGCGGGAAAAGGGCCGTCTGTGTGTGTGAGAGGCGTTGCGAGGGCCCAGGCCTGAGGCCTCTGGCCACGGTGGCCGCCCTGAAGGGTATCTCTTCCCTCGGGAACATCCCCTTGGCTAATCTCTGGCTATCTGGGTCTCTGGAACCTTCCAGGAAATGGGATGAAACAGTGGCCTCGGCACCTTCGACCTGGGTCGGCAGAGGCCTGGGAGCCAAGCCGGGCCCCGCGGAGCTGGCTGGATGCTTCTGATATCAGAGCAAAGACAGCATGATTCTTTCTCTTGCTTTACAGAAAAGGAACTGGGGTGCAGAGAGGGTGGGTGATCAGCCTGAGGTCACACAGTGGAGCAATCACAGAGTCAGGACGTGTGCCCACCTCTTGGCTCCCCAGATCTGGCTCGACTGGCCTGGCCAGGTGGCGTCAGTGCCCATGGTTATATCGGGGCCATTGCTCCAGCCCAGCCAAGGCTCTGCCAGAGAGGAAGTGTGGGCAGTCCTGGGGGAGGGAACCCAAGGTCACGTACAAACCCTGCATGTTTAGACACCACTGGATGGAAGGGGTGGGCAGGCGGGACTGAGAGCAGGACCTCTGGCACCTTTGCCCCGCTCCCTGGTCCCCAGGCCTGGCCTTGGTGTGGGGGGCACTGGGCAGCTCCGGCTCCCAGGGCCTGGAAACTGGGGGCCTTTGTCAGGGGCTCAGGCCCCTGTGGGCAGTGGGTCAGAGCGGGGCCTGGGCACTCTCCACTCAGCCGTGCCTCGAGTATTTACAAAGAGCCCTCCCGGAGCCCAGCACCGGGCGGGGCCCGCGGCCTGGCAGGCGGGAAGGACTGACGGGAACTAGCTGTGACGCCTCCCGGCCTCCGGTGCTCTGTGGAGTTTTGAAGAGGTTTGTGTGATCCCTTCTGGTTAAGTGTGGGAGGCTGACTTCAGTCTGATGTCTCCCTGGGGGTCTTGAGAGGCCTGGGGGCTGGGGGTGTGACGTCCCGGCTGGGTGGTCTGGGAGGGCCAGCAGAAGAGGCGCTATTTCGGCCGAGAGGGGAAGGGTGAGGTGGGTGAGCAGATGAGGGTTGGGGAGAGAGGCAGGCAGAGGAAAGAGAGACGGCGGCTCCAGCTGGGGGACTACACAGCGTGGAGCCCCGGGGGCAGGGGCAGCGGCCTGGGGCCCAAGCATGGAGGCCCTGCAGGCACACCCAGGGGCTCGTGCTCCATCCTGAGGGCCCTGGGTGGCTTCAGCAGGAGGACGTGGCTAAGGAGGATTCGACTGGACGCAGCCTGAGCCTGGACTGGCAGGCAGCAAGGCCAAGCTGGCCAGAGCCTCCCCGCGGGCACACACCCATGTGCATGGGGCAGTGGCGACCTCAGCCTTGGGGTCCCGCCCCTGGGCAGGCTGGACCATTGGCCTAGTGGGGGGCTCTACCTCCCTGCACAGAAGCCTGGCCCTCCTGACCCCTCTCCAACCTTGTGGCTGGGGGGAGGAACCCTCTAATCTGAGCACTGAGGACTAGCTGGTCACTGCAGGTGTCCCCCCGGCCTCAGCTTGGACACTCAGTGACCGCACCGCCACTGTCCCCTGCCACCTCCAGGAAAGGACACTCAGCTGCTCCCCGTCTGTGGTGCCCAGCTCGTCCCCCCAAAGCCCTGCTTCCTAGGGTGACACAGAGTCTGAGGGACCCGCTGACCGGCTCTCTGAGGCCCTGTAAGACATCAGATCTTTGCTCTGAGCCTCAGAGATCAGCGCTCCGGGCCCTGTGCCCTGGGTGGCTCTTCTCAGGCCTGTCCTCCCTGAGCCCTGCCGCCCAGGCTGCAGGAGAGGCCATGGAGAGTCCCCTCCAGCGGCCGCCCATGGAAACCAGGCACCAGCCATGCCCGCCGCGTTCTGGACTTGCTCGGTGTTTTGTATTCAGTGGTCTGCACCTGACAGATGCTTTGGAAAGAGTCGCTTTGCTGACAAAATGCAATCCAGCTCAACTGCCATCATCTGTGGGCCGCCCCGGCTGGGAGCGGAGGCAGGCCCCGTGTCCAGGAGCAGATGGGCCGAGGGCAGGAGGAGGCCAGCTCCAGCCAGCCTGTGCTCTCCCACCGCCTCCCCCCCTGGACTGCCACCGGGCTCCTGCCTACACCCACAAGCACTCCTGGGTCTGCTCCTTATTGACGTGTTTTGTGCCTCTGAACCCACTTTTCTCATCTGTAACGTGGGCTGACATCCAGGTCCCGGCTGGTGTGTAGGGAGCGCGTGAGGACCGGGTGGACGGGGTCCTTGTAAGAGCTAAGTTCACTGTCATCCGAGCGGGAAGGGGCTCCCTACCCGGGTCCCCAGGCCGGAGGACCTGGGCCGGCCGGCCGAGCCTACTCACACATGGGCTTCAGCTGCCCGATGAGCTCCTCCTTCGTCCATTTGGCCCACTCCTTCTTGTCGGTGTTGATGGAGCAGAGGATGGGGCCGCAGGGCTTGCCGCAGTCCTCGATGGCGGGGACGTTCAGGTAGTGCACCAGGACGATGTCGGGGTTCTGGGGGGAGAGCACAGACACTGGCAGCGTGAGGCCAGCACGGGGCCCGCCCAAGGTCGCCCCAGCAGTACACACGGGCTGCTGTCCCCACGCCGGGCTTTCTCAGCCTCGTCACCACCGACCCCGGGAACCAGGTACTTGTCAGTGGTGGGGGCCCTGTGCACGGCGGGATGCTCAGCCGCGTCTCCGGCCTCCACCTGCTAGGTGCCATTAGTCCCCGCCCCTCCCCACTGGGACAACCAGACATGTCTCCTGACTTTGCTCATTCTCCCCCAGGGGACCACGTTGCCCCCAGCTGAGACCCACTGCTGTACACATGGACTGATTCTTGTGTCACCAAGGACCACGCAACAGGTCAAACATATCTGTATCCCCACATCCCGGCCCTGCATCCACAGCTGCCCAGGAGCACCAGCCCCTGCTCCCTGCTTTACACGCATTTCCCCATTGCAGCTGGTTGGACGTCCCCACACAGGCGCCACTGCCACCCTCTTCCCAAGGGGACACAAAATTCCCAGAGTTTGAGGCACCCGCTGCTAAGGGCTGGACACCCCCTGCCCTTCGGCTGGTGGTCTTCCTCCCACACAGGCAGCCCCTTCAGTACGCTCTAAGCATTACCCAGGAGGCAGCTGCCACTCGGAACCTCTGGAAACGCCTCCCTAGAAATCTCTTTGGAGCTCAAGGATGGAAAGGACTCTCTGCTTGAAGACGTTGAAGGCACAGCTTGGCCCCAGACGGTTTTATTGAACTGAGCCAGCCTCCTCCCATCAGATTCCACTCCAAATGCCCTCTGTCACTCTCCGCCCACCACCAGCTCTGAGAGCGACGCGCCCGGGGTAGCAGCCTCCCTGCAAAGAGCCCAGGCCCTCCCGTGGCTTGAGGGCTGTGAGCCCTGGAGGGCGAGAGACTGTTTACTGGGTCGTGTCAGGCCTGGCAAATTTGTTTTTCAGAAAAAGCAACCATGTCACTTTATAATGTACCTGAGGAATCCCCGAAAAGCCTTCTCCCCTAGTCAGAAGTTACTTCTGAACCATAAGGAAACATATGGTGACACAGCAAGGTGCTGCAGGAGACTGCGGGAAAACCACCCGGAAGGTCCCATCCCGGGCGATTTCCCAGGCCCGTCCCCTTGGCTTTTCCTACTTGGGGCCGACCCCAAGTCCTGGGTGGCCGGGAGGAGCCTGGGCACGGAGGCGGAGGCGGAGGCACTGGGTCTGCGATCACCTCTCTGCACGAGGTCAGAGCGAGAGTAATAAATGAATGTGCGACTCAATCAATGCATTCATAAAGAAAGACTCCAGGCTAAACCACGAACAGTGCAAGAAAGAACACTGGCATCATTTTAAAAGATTTTCAATAAGGGTGGAAACAGAGTTTTTTTCTCACCAACGCTTAGTTAACCAGGAAATTAAATCAACACGAACGGGAGCCTTCTCGTTAATGGCAGCTTTTCCGGATTGCGGTAATCACGCTCCTTAATAATAATGGTAATCCCTGACGGCGGCGGCACCTTATTCTTCCCCAAGCACTTTCTAGCCATTATCTCACGTGGCGCCCACGCGAGCCGGGGAGGCGGGCCGGGCCGGGCAGGACACCCTTCTCTGACAACGAGGCACAGTGAAGTTGTGACGTGCCCAAAGCCAGGTGCCTGGCGAGGCCCAGAGCTGGGGCCAGAAGCCAGGGTTCTGACTCTGCTTTTAGGTCCTGCCAAGACATCTGGTGGCCTCTTTTTGTTCGGTCTAAGTGCTTTCCCATCTCATATTTCACTTCCTCCTTGCGAGATACCCAAGAGGCAGGTGGGTTGGGTAGATGTACTATGCTCATTGCCTGGATGGGGTAGCCCAGGAGAGGTGGGTACGTACACCCGATTCCCAGCCTTGTGTTCCTTCTTAGCGACAGGCACACTGGCCTCCCTGAGCGGGAGCTCCTGCCTGAGCCTGTGGCAGTGCCAGCCACTGAGCAAGACAGAGTAAGAATCAAAGGCATGCAGGGACCAGCGGGCCACCCAGGGCTTCCTCTGATCCCAGCCCCAGAAGCTGGAGCCTGGCCCTGTGGGAGGGAGCCAGGATGTCAGCTGTCTGGGAGATGAAAGGTCTTCCACGTCCGGCCCTACTGTCCCACAGAGCGCAGCCTGGGTGCCTGGGAAAGCTGTGGGAGGCCAGGGCAGTGCGAGGGCAGGTGGGGACCTGGGGAGCAGAGGGCAGCCCTCACCACGTACCAAAACCTCCAGAACCTGAGTTCCTGCACCACAGCATCCGGACTGTCCGGTCTCAGGAAGCCCCATCCCTTCCTTCAGGGTCCAGCTCCATTTCTGCATAACCAGCCTCCACCTACTCTTTCAGGACAGACAAGAAGACAGGCACAAGGCTCGCCTCCTCCTCCAGGAAGCCTTTCTGGATACCTCACCCTCCATACCTCCACCACAGCAGGGTGGAGATTGGGTTTGTGTCTTAATAGTACGCCTCCTTTATCTGCTCATCCATGGGGGACAGAGCCCTGGAGCTATCACAGTGTCTGGCAATGCCTGCTGCTCATTCCTTGTCTGTAGAACTGAATTAGGTGGACTTTGGATCTCCTGTCATTACTCTTCCCAGACTTGTGCTGACCTGACAGCTGGTCTCCGCTTTCCGTGCCTTTGACGGGCAGGGCAGCTTCTTGGATCATGGGGTGTTCCTACAAGGCTAAGAGGCAAGGCAGTTTCTTAACCTTTTCCGGGTCTAAGGCCTCTGAGAATTTGATGAAGTCTGTGACTTCTCCACTCCAAGCCCCCCAGATGCCCCAAGGCACATCAACGCTGCATTTCAGGACTTCACAGACCCAGCACACATCTGCAGCCGCTGACATAGGGATTCGAGATCTACCGCTGCCCCCTTCAACTCAGGGAACGTGCCCAACACGTATGTCCCCTTCCCGGGAGCCTCTGTCCCGGGCCTCGTGTTTTTGGCGGTCTTGTTACGATTAGGAGAAAGCCCCAGTCCCTGGTGGCCTCCGGGAGGCTGGGCTTGGGGTTAGGGAGTGCAGAAGCAGGCTGCACCATGGTTTATATCTGTAATGCAGATTCCATCCCAGGGCTTGGAGTTCCTGCAGCTGAAACCCCTGAGTTGAATTTTAAGGAACAATTTCCTGGCTTGCGGCTGGTTTTAAGACACAGAGTGATTGAGGCATTTTTGGCAATTGGGGGAACCCATCACTTCTTGGCAATGTTGCAGTTTTATTCATTTGTTGTACATTTTATTGGGTGTTTCTGGCAGAAAAATATATTAGCCGGAGAGTCCCAGTGTACCAGTTTCATGGAGCGCTCAGATCAATGTCAGATCCTCAGGGAGCGCTGGGCTGCTGGCCTGGTGGGGCCGCCGGCTCCAGGGCACTCCACCGAGGACACGCTGTTCTGGACGTTGTCTGGAGCCAGCCTGCCTTCGTGACCCTGGGCTGACATCCTCTGATGTTTCCCTGGTTTCCCACCCAGGTCAGACCTTGCGGGCTGTGGGGGTCTCACCCAGAATTTCCATGAGGACGCTAGAGGCCACCCCCTCGAAGAAAGCATGACTTTTGACATGACCACTCCCCCTCCCCGAGTGTCCAGGAAGCCTGCCTAGTGTCCGGGAGGCCTGGGGGAACCTCATGGGGTGGCTGTGGAGGGGAAGCTGAGGATAGATAAATGCCTCAGAGAAGTTCCAGAACTTTCTAGAAAGAGCCATGAACTAGGAGACCCCCTCCTTTCCTTTTGCTGCTTTTAGCTCTTCATCTACAGATGGACACAGAGCCCCCGCCCTCCTCACCAGGCTGCCGCAGGGGCCACGACGGGGCCTTTGGGAGGTGCAAAGTCCTATGCGCACAGGGTCCTCTTCTAACTACCAGCTGCCACCAAAGCCCACACCAGACAAAAGCCTCGTGTTTTTCCGGAGAGAGTGGCCAGAGTTAGCGTCTAGCGGGCAGTTTACCCACTGAAAACACACGCTTTTTCCGCTAACGGCCCTGTCTGTCCTGATTTTCTTCTTACTGCCGAAGGTACCCCTTCCTCTACAAACTTCGTGGCTGGGTCTTGGTCCCCCACCCTCTTAGGGCCTCATTCAGCCTCGAGGCCGTCAGCCCACCATGGTCCAAGGATTCCTCGATTTCTCTCTCCAACCCCGCCTCTCCACTCTGCTCCCAGCTCAACGGTCCCACTGCCCTCTGACAGCTCTCACTGGGGTCACGAAATGCCCCCCTGCTCACATGGCCAAGATTGATGTCCCCCCCCGATGACCACCCCTCCAGCCGGCCCACTGCAGGCTTTCCCCCAATGACAAAAGGCACCACCTCCTGCAGCAATCTAGGTCAAAGCCTTTCTTCTCTCTCTGTCTCCCTCCAATCCATCCATCATCAAGCTCCATCAGATCTCCCCACCAAGTAAGCCGGCCACCCCTCCCCCGCCCGCCCCAGACCACCCAGCCCGCGCCCCGCCCCCTGCCCTGTGGACCCTCGCCTGGGTCTCCTTACTTCCTGTCTTCCCTCCCTCCCTGTCCATCTCCCAACACCAGCAGAAGTGACCCCATGGTTCCAGCAACGGCTCCCTGGCCTGCAGGGTGAAACCCACACTCCTGATGTGGCTGCAGGGACCTGCCATCTGTTTCCCTCCAGTCACTCACGCTCCCCTTGGCTCACCCAGCTCCAGCCACCCCCGTTTCCCAGATCTGCCGTGTGCATTCTCTCCTGAGCCGTTGTGCTCTGTGCCACCTGTCGGTGTGAGACTTAATGCCACCCCCTCACAGACTGGGTGTTGAGAGACCCCTCAGACATGGTGCCTCCCTGCCCCCCTGCCCAGGCCCTACTGCCTTTCCATCCTTTATTTTATTTATAGCAAGCACTCACCCCCAGTTCTCACTTCTGAGCAGTTGCTAGATTTGGCCTGTTTGCCCGCCCAGGACTGAGAGCTCCAGTGACCGGGTTCTGTCTTGTTTGGGGCTGGCTCTGCCCATCTGCTGAGTGCTGAGGGTGGTGACAGCGGAGCTGCCCCCAGG